GGACCATCCGTGTATTCATGATGTTTCAATAGAGCCAGGATACACCGTCCAACTAAGTTAGAATTAGCAAATGAATGAAAAAAGAGTGAATTCACGCTGAAGTAAGCAGGTGTGACAAATTCATTGAGCCGCATTTGAAATGCTGCCATGTTTAGTGACTAGAACCTCGCCTGTGACGGAAGTAGAGTTTGGATTAAAAAAAAAATTGAGGTAGTCTGAATGTGTATGGTAACCAATAAACAGACTCCATTTGTTTAGCTTAATCGGAAAGTTTTTCCTTGATGGCAGAAAATGTGCAGATTATGGGCCTGTGTGTGTGTGTGACTGTGTATGTATGTCAAGTGTAGCCTTGATCTATGCAGAGCTCTAATACAGAGCTAAATTAATCTATGAGTCCATAGTTGTGCGCACACACACAAACAACAAATACACACACTCACTCACACACACACAGCCAGGTGGTGGAAATCCCCGTCACAGCAGCAGCCCTCTCGGGAGAGTAAACCCGGCCGGGTCCAATATTCTTTTCAAAGCCTTTTATCGAGCAGTTTACAAGTTATGAATGAATATGTTTTATTTGGGGAAACACAGTATTGACAGCCACCTATCAATAGTAATGTGACTATTGTCAAGGGTCTGTCAATATTAATGTAATTATGATGTAGAGGGATCAGAGGGATGCCGGAGTCGCGGGCCAAGTAACATCTCCTGCCCACTGCCATATCAATAGCTGGGATTGCTATTGACAGCTTCCCTTCAGACTTGCAGCACTTGCCAAATATATAACAAGCAGACACTTCAGTCAATGCCGGGCTGCCTATAAAAATTAAGCATTTGAATTTACAGGGCTTTTACTGTGGACAGCTGGAAATCCATGTTCCTTATGTAATAGTCAAAAGTCACAGTCAATGCCAGTGTTTACAGAGTACTGGCACGGTGTGTGTTAAAAGACAGACACTACAGCATTTGCACACAAAAAGCATACACAGACAGAAGCAGACAGACTCTGTCTGATGTGTTCACTCACTCACTCACTCACACAAAGACACCGGATGAGATATATTGACTTGATTCTCTCATGGGTCAGCCAACCAACCGACCCAGAGACAAAATGCCCTCTCTTGGAGAGTCTGCAGCGGACAACCACCAGAGTAAGAAGGCAGGTTAGAGGATCTCACAGAAAAGAAAAACAAACAGAAATTCACCTGAAATGTCTACAGTCTTGCTTTTCTATCAGAGCTTTATAACTACTTTAAAGCATCTTCCTGGGAAAATTAAGGGGTATTTTGATTCAGGTCAGATGAGTTTTTCGTTTCCCCCCTTGTTCCCTTAGCCTCTGCATCTTGTTCAGACAAAGATAGTGCACTGACTCAAGGCTGACTGCCATAGCTTAAAGACAACAACAACAACAACAATATCCAATCTAACAGGGAAGATGCCGAAATATAGCTTCAAGGCAAACGGGGCCATGACCAGTGTGTGGAAGGAGAGGCGAGGCAACAAAAGCGTACAGCACATCAGACTTAAGCCTTGCAGCTGTACCGGGTCCTCTGAAAACTAGACAACGGGCTTTAATGACAGCTAACCAACAGAAAGATGGATAGACAAAGAGACAGACAAAAAAGACAAGACACGTCAGACAACACGTCATGAAACCCCCAGCCTGGAGCTCTGAGCTACTGTCTACTGATACAGTGAAGGAAAAGAAAAAACTGGGGGCAAAGATAGCTAAGGAGGAAAAATGAGGGAGGGGAAAAACAGATAAGAACAAACCGCTCCCTAGGAACTGACCTTGAGACTGATGGTCACAATAGAGGAGGAGGGAACATTCCTGAAGCACAGCTCAGCTATAGTGAGGTGCGGGCATCCAGGGAATAGCCTATAGAGAGAGGAAGGCTGCACTTTCTTCTTGACCTTGGCTTTGGTGTCTAGGGAGGGGATGAGGCTGTTTAGGGCAGGGGACTAAAGACTGAGGGATGCTGGGAAGGTGGAGTATCTCTGGGGGATTGCGTTTTGCTTTTTCTACAGCGGACAAGCCCTCTGAAGCGACTCACAAGGCTATCATTCCATGCCAGTTGGAGACTGTGTGTCCAAGAGTCTCGATTTAGCTCCTGGCGTTGGTGTAGTGCTCAAATTCCTAAGCACTTAGCTATGGTTGTTAGCATAATAATATTTGCTGAAATAATGCATAAACGTTCACTTGGGCTTCTATGATGCTTGTAGCGGGAAATAGGCTACGCATTGGCAAAGCATGCTGGATTACAACTTTACATTTTCTTCTCTCGCTCATGTAAATTAATTTGTGTAAAAGCTCTGGTGAATAAAACCTATTTCTCTGAGCACTCCAGTCTCATTTTTTTTCTCTCTCTCTCTCTCCACTGCTCCCTTACTTTACTGCCCTTCTTTCGCCAGGAACGAGAGCGGGCCTATTAGCCATGTCCTGCTAATGTCCTCACTGTGAAAACGGATGAGAATGTCAGATTTAGAACTTTTAAGAGAGTGATGTCATACAGCAGACCACAGGCATTACGGGGACGCTAAGATTACCCAGGCGGTAACCAGACTAATTGTTATGAGTCTGTTTCATGAAAAATGAATGCGTGCAAATGCACAGAGGGGTCTTCAGGCTGTGTGTGTGTGTGTGTGTGTGTGTCACACACTAATGCTTTATCAAGGCTCTCCTCTTTCTCTAATCACCCAAGACTCCTCCGAGCCATGGGGTGAGGGCAAAGTTAATGCCTGAACACAAAAAAAAAAATACACATCAGTTAGAACAGCACATCTGACACAAAAAAAGTGCTCTGTTTAATGTGGTTTGCTCAGAAGGTAAATTATTTAAGAGAATTAATTGATTTCATGAGTACGAAGGTTGAGTACGCTAAGGCTGTATGAGTAATAAGTACAGAGGTTTGCAAAAAAAACAACTTAAAAAGTAATGAAACATTTAGAGGGCAGACAGGCACAATGAACGCGGAAGAAAAAGTTGAACAGCTAATAAATGAGAGAACTGAAGTTGTGTCTTTCTAGCAGTCAATGAGAGATGACTGGGGCCTCACCTCATGCAAATAAAATGCTATGCTGAGGAATATTTGATCAGCACATTTCTTAGCTTCTCTTTACACATGAAAAACACAAGCATAATAAAAGTGAAAACATTTTGTCCGCTTTTTTAATTTGTGCAACAAGAAAAATATGTGTGGGAGTGAAAAAGTCCAAACTGAGGGGATGCTGCTCTGTGAACGTGAAAAGCACTGCATGATGAGAGATTTAAGAGTTTTCCACAACAGTCAAACCCACTGTACTGAGGCTACTTTTAGGAATTCATCTTTGATATGTATCTGTGAATCAATTTGGGGAATTGGATTGCTACCGCTGCAAATTGCACTCCCTAATGACATGTTATACTTTCATCTGAATTTGGAAGTTAATGCCTTGATTTCCTGCAAAAATAAGGAAGAAGTGCCTTCTGGCAATGTACACATTAGAGCTAGTGCACTGAAAATATGGTAAAATTACTGTGATCCTTGAAGGCAACTGAACATGATGTATAGCACACTGGATGTTTAGATATCTTAAATTACCTATCTGTAACAGCTGGTCTTGTGTCTGTCAATTCCTATGAATGGGTTCTAGAGTAGGCGACTGAAAATTGATGATACATAGATAATCAATGAATGGTTAGTGTTTTATCTGGTAAAATGCTTGCTGATTAGATAAAAACCTTGGTCAGAAAAAAACATAAATGGAATTCATGAAATAGGCCACAATATATGTGCAATATAATGTTGTTTTTGTTTTATGACTAAAACTATAAAGTGAATCCATCAAAGCTTGAAACTCTTGCCAAATAAGTGCACAGATAACCCCACTGCCTTTATCACTTGCCTTCATCTGGAAACTGTATAAAATGACCTTATGACCCCAGAGTGAGATCACAGCCCAATTTAACTTCAGTGACTCCCTTAAAAACACACTCATTACGCTAAGTGTTTAGCTCAGGCACGCGCCTACACTTCAATCCCATGCAATCAGCCAGTCCACATTCTCCTCATGATGACATTGTCTCTTAATTTTTTAGCCCATGCCCATCAGTCTTTCACAACAACAAAACCCAAATCTGCTCCATTTTGATAATAAGGCAAGAGCATTATGTGATAATCACAGTGGGGATTAGGTTTTGGCAGAGTGTGCAAGAGCAGTGCAGTCAAAGCCACTGGAAAAGAGAGATATAACCAAGAGACAGATAAGAGGAGAGGTGTGATGATTGGGATGAGAGAAACGAAGTGAGTAGTCTCTTGAAAATCAATACGATCAACTTTGCCTTGAATCTCAATGTGGAAGGTTTTGATCTCTAGCACTGATTATTTAGGGGAATAATGGAATTATGTGCGGAGCAGCATAACATACTCCTGGAGGAACATACTCTCACAAGGTTACCATGCAAAGTTGCAGTTGCTAAATATACTTGGAGAGGATTAGATATGAATACTAATTCATAACAGTTGGTCGTGTGAACCGCATGTACTATGCACATCGATAGACCATCGATTTGATTTTATGCAAACATGAATGAAAAGGGGAACACATTTCGCTCCAAGACACAACACGGTTACTACTAGACAGCAACAAGAAGGCGATAACAGTAGACCACGAGTCTTTACGCCGTTTAAAATAAGCAGACGAGCCGCATTTGCGCTTCCTGTTGAAATACCAGGATATGGACGAAAATCATTCAGACTTGAATGTTCGCTAAACAACGCAACGAATATATATTTACCCATTTCTTTTCAAGGGAAAACGTGAACCCAATGTAGTCCCCAGTCCTCCCAGATACGACGAAAATATTCTGAATTTCCGGGTTGTCAATATGTACCCCGCCTCTTTAAGAAAAACCACCAGTGGTGTGGTTGTACGTCACGATTACGGTGCCAATCGTCAAAATTAGCCAATGAAATCACACAGCGCCAATGCAGCGGCAAACTGCAGGGGGAAGCGTCGGTCTGTCTGGAAATACTACATTCACAGTCCTCCGTTGTAGTTACGGTACGTAGCGACCAAGTTGTTGGTGAAGCCACGGTAATTCACATGAAGTAAGACAGATACTGTCTAACATGCACTCTGAATGCCATGCACTGCCTTTTTTCAGGTTGCTCAACAGCTGTCTAATAATGAAACTAGTATAAGGCTGTGCAATGATTTAACCAGAGTGACGAGCCATGGCTTTGAGGGTTAACTAGTTAGCCTTTGAATAGCCTGCCGTTTGTTATATAAACAGTGCAAGTAGTATATTGGAGCGACGCTGAAAACTGCCATGAGCCAAAAGGCAACATCAGAGTCAGGGGACAACTCGAAGCTGTCGGGACAGGGAAGTGATACTGTGAACCTGCCCTCTCCCTCAGGCGAAGTAACGTTAGAGCTGAAAGTTGCCATTCAGGGTCCTGGGACTGAGACAAACAACGTTAAACAGCTTCTAAACGAATTCAAAGGACTTTACGAGCAGAGGCTGAGATGCCTGGAGCTGGACGCCAGTGTAACACGAGAGGAACTGCTGCAGGTTGGTAGATGTTCGTTCAGACGTCATTTCAAGTACAGCCTGTTCACGGTAGCGTGGCCGAGCGGTCTAAGGCGCTGGATTTAGGCTCCAGTCTCTCTGGAGGCGTGGGTTCGAATCCCACCGCTGCCATTATGACCATTTGATAGAGTTCTTTAATTTGTCCAGATACAGTAAATCTTAGATGTGGAAGTTGTGTGATATAACAGGCTTATGTAAAAGTGTAGCAACTCGCAACACCTCTCTGGATTCATATTCACATTAAGAAAGACAGTAAGATCATCAAATATCACCCCATAATGATACTGATCTTCTAGTGATTCATTTAACACTGAAATCAAGTGTTTCTCATTTTACTGAGCTCACTGCACCTTCCATAGGTAACCGTTAGGGTTCTGGGCCTTGGATTGTATTCATGGGTCCAGTCAAGAGCATTAGTTATGTAAAAAATAAAAAGCATTATTGAGGACCCGATTCAGACCCAAAGTCTCTACCAGATGTGTAGTTTTCTGCAGACATCCATTGTCATTAAGTTATCATCCATCCAATACAAATCAAAGTGCATCCTGTCCACCGTGACTGGAGCATCAGAAGATGACCTCCGTCCTGTCAGACAAATGGCAGGAGGAAGCTGAGGGGTGCTTTCATAAAGCCGCAGCACTTGTAACAGGTGGCAAATTGCATTATGTTTCCATCTGAGCGGCAGAGATCAGGAACACGGATCCACGCTCATATTTAAAAAAAGAGAGGTTTCTAATCATCAGGATTGTCATGTGACATCATTTAGGTACAGAATGTAGCCTGTGTGAGCTGGGCTGTGCATCAAAGCAAGGGTAACAAGGTTTCACAGATGGGTTTCGGTCAGCCGGCCCCAGTCGCGGGCCTGCTTAACAAGGTTATGTGTTTAGAACCCAGGAGCTCCCAAGTCCTAAAGGTTGATGTGGACAGTTAATCATAAAGCTTGTCCATTGAAAACACAATGCCCATATATCCATGGATCCATTGTAGGTTTCGGATGTTTCCTATTATGTTAAAACACTTGAACAACCTCCTAATTAAAGAATTTGTATTAAGAAAACACGATTTTGCTTTAGGGCAGTGATCAGGAATAGCTGTTCCAAAGCTGGTAAACAGTAAACCAATATGCTGCTAAGTTTTATATAATAAATGCACTTTCAGTTTCACAGCTTAAAACACAATGTCAGCCCTAGAATGTTATCTTAGATACTGTCACATCTACCATCTTTGTAAAGTTCCTCTCCCTGAAGCTATACATCAGTGTTATATTATGCGTCAGGGGACGGTATAAACTTGCTTGTTGACTTTTTTTGGCTGTAGGGGACAGACGTTTATGAACACAGGTGTACAGGGGGTCCTCTAAGGCAAGAGAATTCTGAAACTCAGTGGCACTCCCTTTTATCAGAGCTGCAATCATTGTATATGTAGGCTGTCTGGCTACCTGTACAATCCCTGTAAGGAACAAGTGCACACACAGGTTTTTTTTAACTGAGATTAAGGACTGACCTGAAAGACTGCTCTGGAGAACGGTGAGGATTTAATATATTATGGCAGTTGTGGAGCATGTTCAGGTGACCTATTTTTGGTAAACAATAAAATGTGAACTCAGAAATCTACCAGACAAAAAGCAGCAACAGGGAACAACATCTTTCTGAGCCTGCCCTTACCCCTCACCAGCTACGTACAATTTCCTGCTCGTGATGTATTCCTTTCTTATAGTACAGTTCAGAGGTCATCTTTTGTGAATGAAAGCCAATAGTATTTTATCTCCTTGTCTGGCAGGGCTAGTTTTGTGTTCTGGAAAGTAAAAACAATGTTTTTGATTTTAGACAGGAAACTCAGTCCTACCATAAAATTCTATTAACAACAAGTGTATGGTTATACATTAAGTAAGGTGTTGCTGCTCCCGTTTTGTGGGTCCTACTCCAGTTTAAAATGCATGGACTACTTGTTGCGGCGGAACAAGAGCCTGTGGCCATCAGCAGTAGATTTCACCATCATCTACAATGTCTGCTAGCTGTCTTCAGATGTATGTTTTTGTCACAAAGTAAAAGAATCACAACCTGCCCTGCGAGACGATTGGATGGATCTCCACTTTAAATCAGATTCTCAATCTCAGACACAAGGGTTAAATAAATCTAAATAAAACATAAACTGTCAGATTATTTTGTCCTGGGGAGCTCTCATGTTTCCCTTCTGAGGCCGTCACTGGAGGCATATAGTCCCTGTTTTTCTGTTCATTCACTTGTGTGACAAAGTGACATCTGACATGACTTTGACGTTTGATGCATTGTTGGGAAATTATGCATCTCACTGCTGTAATCTGTCAATTTCAAAAACACTCATTTGCCAAGAGGGAGTACTATGTTTATAGGTCAGGGAAGATGACATACTGTCTTCGCAACTCTGTCTCTTAGGAACTACGTCCATATTGCAGCTAATAGCGATTTATGTTCATTGGCAACTTTTGGCCTTAATGGAGGAGTTAGTGTGATGTTCTTATAGCGCAGGAAAAAGTGCAAGCGAGGAAACTGGGCAGGGTGGATTGGTTTAGTGAATGACTTCAACTAACCTTGTGTGTCTTCCCATGATGTAACTCAGTTTTAAACATTTTATATTGTCTTTTTCATGTTTGTCAATGATCTTCTGTCTTCTGTGTTATTTTTAATCATATACACACACACACACAATTTCATTGCCACCAGTGGCTCTTGTAGAGAAAAAAAATGAAAATAATGCCAGTGAAAACTTGTAATGTAATTGTTTCTGTCACTTCAACAGGGATTTTAGTTTGTCAATGAATTGACTGACTCATTAAACTCAACTAGACTGTACTGTAAGCTTGTTAAAACACAGCAAGTAAACCACTGTTTGATCTCGCTGTGCTGTTATTCTTGCAGAAGAAAGTGAATTTCCTGTGGTCATATGCGAATGACCTCGCAGACCAGAACCAGGTGCTGGTTCAGACCATTGAAGATCTGCAGAAGGAAGCCGACCACAAGGTTTCCAGTTTGGGAATGAAGCTATGCAGTTCTGATCATACTTTGGAAGTAAGGTTTTACAATTGCTGTCATTGCACTTCATTGTTTTCTTTGATATTTCTGTATTTTAAACAAATTTACAGGAATCTTTATGGTATTTATTCCCCTAATAGAATCAGGAAGGTAATATGAAAGTGAGCACATTTATCTGTATATATCAAAAGGATGTAAGTTAGGTTTGCACTCAGAGGTTATGTTGCAAATCTTTGCTGGGTTTTTCTTTTACTTTTTCTGCACGCTTAAAGAGTATTTCATGGTCTCGTCTCATGTGTGTGGGCATACACAAGGTGAGTCGTGTTGTAAAATACACTGTACATATTACATTCCAAATTTCCAAACGTGTGCTGAAAAAGTTTTCCAAGTTAATGTTATCTGCATGTACAAAAAAAAAAAGCCATTGTGGGCATACTGTAAAACATGCCTCTACAAATATTCTAAAGCTTTTTATGTATTGAGACTTTTTGTCACAGGGAGTATGGATTGCAGATTGTTCTCCTGAATTTACTAATTTAACTAAGAACATTTATTTAGTATTCTGCAGTAAGTGGAGCAGCATATGGCAATAGAATGAAATGCCTACTCATAAACAGCTTCTGTACACAAATATGAAGCATGCATAAACACAACTGTGGTACAATTTATTCAAAAGAGAGAAAACAAGAAAGACAGAGAAAGAGGGGGAGTAACAGCTCATGGTTTTCGTTTCTACTATGCAGCACCATTGTCTCCATGATCTTTTGTGTACACTACTTGAGGCCAAGGCCTCTTCGTCTTAACAGAATCCAATCAGTGGAGATCACAATGAATACGGTTAACAGTTAAGTGCATGAAAATCTCTAATTGTTTAGACACAATAAAATCACTCTATAGAATAATAGCAATATAGAAAAGCAATTAGTGTGAGCGTGGAGTGTTGCAATAGTTTCCTGTTTTGAAGCATAATCTTTGTTGAGACCTGGTGTTAAAGATACAGTGAAGTCTTTGGGATAAGCTGCATGTAAATTGAAAAAGCAGTCAAGCAGAGAAAGGTCCTCTGTTGTTATCTTTTAAGTGTGTGGCCCCCACCACAAATGGAGGAGACCACAAATGATCACTCATTCTTAGTGGACTGGGGCTGGAAAGCTGAGTGCAAAAATGCATGTTTATTCTTTCTTTATTTTTTCAAGATTACATCAACACTAGGCAGTACTATAAAGACATCTTCATCACTTGATGCAGTGACCTTAAGGTATTGTTCAATTTCAGTTATGGCCAGTCTTCTATCAATAGGCCTATTCGCTCTTCTGAGTAGATTTTGCACACAGAAAAGTAATTATGGCTTATTTTACATCAAAGTACTTATCAGCTATTATGGAGAAGGTCAGAGGGCTAGTTTTATATGCTCGCTATACTGGAACAAAGGTCAGTGTATTACAATGCTTTGCATTTCTCAACATTCACAGCAGTCCCTTTATAATTTCATTAATTTAAAACTTCATTTTGTTCAATGGCATTGCTTTCGCTTTTTAACAAAAGATTCCAGCATCTACGCATTTTCTCATCCATGTGCTTTCATAGATGCCTTTACAGAACTGGCTGTACAATACATATGTTTCTTGCAAGCTATGGTAAAATACGTACCTACTGAATGGTGAGAATAGCCAAGATTAGTTTCCAGGTGTGTTACAAGTAATGGAATTTAAAACTTATTAAATGATGTTGTCTTAGTTGCCAAGAGTTCATCTGGTTGCACACTTTTGTTACTGTTGGTGACAACGACAGATCCTTTTAGCAGTCAAAAAGACACAGCGTTAGGGGACATAATAGATTGTTGCCGTGCTATCGACCCATTTTCGGAGCTTTAGAATCTCCATTTTCACCCGTCTTAAATGATGCTCTCACTGTCTGTTTATGTTACTTTGTATGATTTCGAGGTCTAGATTGGTAAACAAATACAAACAAATGGACTGCCTCACTCAACAGTCTATTAGGATAGTCAGGGGACAACAGTGTGTTTCTGCTCTGATGTCCATAATGTGAAATCCAATCAAATGAAGAGCATTTAGAGCTACTTATGGACTGTTCCACCATGTAAACGATGCAATGAGCTCTGTAATAGGAGCTTGGCTAACGTCTGATTGAATCGTAGTGTATGGTCTTGTTGATGCACAACAGGGTTGAACTGTAATGGACACTAAACAGAGTTTGTTTTGTGGTCATAATATCATGAAATCCAAGGCTTGTATTGTCTATTGTAGACTGCTACAATTAGCCTGCTGTCTATTTATCATCCATAGGCAGACAGATATAGCATCATCTTGTACAATGCAAAACTAAATTAAACAGTACTTGGTGAATAATACTGGTCATCTGATTTAAACTGTATTACCCTTTAAGTGGTTACAGGTCAATACCTTCAGTATGTGGATGTACAGACAACAAAAAAGAATAATTTTAAAATCCATTCAACTTCCCTACTTTTAATAGCCAATGGGCCACTATTGTCCTGACTTGGTAAACCCCGCTGAATTAGTGCTCCACCCAGGTTAAAACTTACATTAGTAATTTTGTGCAAAATATTGATTTTCAAGTAAGCTGTAGCAGCAAGCTCTAACAGCAAAGGATTTCATTCTCTCTAGTAGAGTATGCACTCTACTAGAGGGCTCTACTAAGGGGCTCAACATTAAGGATTGCCCGATTGCCCGGGGCAGGTAAAATGTCACGTCAGGCAAATAAATCTAGCAACTCACTGCCCGATTGGGCAAGTGGTAAAAAAGAATTAAACACATCGTTTTGGTGTAATTTATTATCACACTGCAGCCACTCCCCTGTTCTCTGTGTCTGCGCTGAGCTCCGTCACACACACACATACAAAAAAACAAACACACGGAGTGAAGTCAGCTGACAACAGAGCAAGAAGGCTGCAGTGGAGATTACTCGAGTTGACGACAACTACGCTCATTACTGTAAGTAAGTGCAATAAAACCTTCTTGAGTAAAAAGTCAATACTTTATCAATACACCGGTTGAACAAGCATAAACACATAGAAAGCGATATCTCAATCTGCCTCTGTCCACAGTCTCTTATTCTCTGTGTTTTACACAAGCACCACAGTTAAAACTGTTTATCTTAGTTTGCCACATATTATAACATTTGGCAAATTCTTGTGAACTTCACTGTTGACTGAGACAAACCAGCCGCTCTTCTCTCTACCAGCAGTACCTGCACGCAGTGATTCACATCAGTAGCAGAAGGAGGAGGAGGAGGACAGGAGGAAGGAATGATAGTGACTGAGTTATTCATTCTTTGTAAACTTCACGCAGTATTTTGATGTCACGAATAATATTTATTTTATTGGCATTTTAGGTTTGTTTCCAGTGAGATATTACAGAGTTTGTGTAGTGACTTTGCTTTTTTAAACTTTGCAAATGCCAGTAACAACGTATAGTTTAAAACATTACATTCTAATCCTGTTCTGAATTTATTCTTTTAAATAATATATTTTCAAAGGCAATTATTTGATAATGAAAAAGAACAGGTAAGAGTATCGATAAAGAACTGAACCAATAAGAAGTATCGATGAGAGTCAATCAATAAAATCAGTCATAAAATCATCAATACCCATCTCTACTTCAGCAGCAGGTAAAGACAAAGTTTAGGATAATTTATCACTCACAGTTAATGTGTCCATCTCTGGGCAGAAGGACCAAACACTGGATAGGGGGAAGTAAAAATTGACTTTGGGCTAGTAGACTTCTGACACGACCGGGCAAGTGAAAAAAACATTAATGTTGAACCCTGGCATTGACACAGGTTAGTGTGGATTTAGATGTAGAAGCATGTAGATGTATAATTGGTTGTCCCAGTCGCTGCAGGACAGAGAATCTGTATTAGTGTGAGGATGTAGACGTCCAGTCCTTTTGTTGCTCTTGCCAGTGTCAGTTTCTACAGTTAGCTATCTTTTCACCAAGTGAAAAAGATTTATGGAAAATGCTGAACTTTTTTTGTCATTCGGTTACAATAAAAAACATTATTATGAGTGCTGAGGAGTTTTTGGGAAACTTCTAGGAAATGTCCTCATACTCATTTCCTTCTAATGTTCTGGGTTATATTCTCGTTGTTGAGTCATTTTGGCAACTTAAGAATTAGCAATCATATAATGCAATAAATCTGGCACTAATGATCTTTGTAGAATTTTATTTTTTTCACTTCCAGGCAGGTCAAAGGCGCAAAGGCAGCTACAGAACAACGTCTGGAGCTGGCAGGGATTCAGTATCTTGCTTGAAGACACTTTTGTTGGCCTGATGGTTGCCAACTTTGGTTTCAATGACAGATGGAGGATGAATAAAGCGCTCGCCTTTAATCTGAGACTTATAAAAACGTTATTTCTCAACAGCTATTGAAATCATTTCCTACAAATAATTGAGGCTCCCTGGTAAAGTCCTGTTTTGGTCACTATCTGACCTTTTGTCTGTCAGATCAGTAGGTTACAGATCAAAATGTCTTTAGTCTATAATTAGGTATCTTGAAAAGCCTCCCCAGCAAACAAGCAACTTTAGGGTTGTACACTTTACAGTTTTTCTATTGCTAACATGCATCGGTCAAAACTGAAGTCACATTGTCAAAACTCTTCACAGTAAGCGAAAAAAGAAGTGTATGTGGACCAAACTGTGAATCATTTTTCATTGCTTTCACGCAAAATGCATTCAATGACAACTTTCTCCAAAATTCATGGACTCTTTTCTAATTACTCCTTCACCACAACAGAACATTTTTCAAATTCTAACACACTGTGTCCAAAACTGTTAAAAACACAATCAAAACAGAATGATTGCAAATGCCCTGCATTTCTGCAGTAACTGGACAGATATATATATATATATAATCTTAGCAGAACGTTTACGTACATTTTATGTTTACGTCTATTTGCGTAGAGAAATGTGTGTAGTGTGTTAAATATAGTTTTACTTAAAACACTAAGCTGAGTGTAAAGCAGGAAATGTGTTTGTATTTTAGCAGAATTGGTTCAG